TTCTTTTGTTGATGCTGTTTTTTCACGAAGAATTGAAGCTGCAACTTCAGCTTCATCTGTTATATCTTTATCTAATTCTGTAATACTATTTGATGGTGTTAAACCATGTAATGTAACGACATTTTCATTTAACTCACGTAATTTTTTAAAAGTTTTAGCAACTTTACCAACAGCACGTATTTTTGAACGCATTTGTTCTTTACGTTGTTCTATTTGATTACGCTCAACTAATGAGTAAAAATGTTCATCATATTTAGTTAATTCTTCATCTGTACATATATGAAGAATTTGTAAAAGTGCATCGTTGATTTTTTCACAAACAAATGGTAATGACCATGTAAATACATTCATAAAATTTGGTAACCAATATGGATGTGATGAACAATTAAATTGTTGAATATTAACAATATTATTTTCATATTTCATAATAGCTGCTTTATTTTGATAAACATCACAGTAATTAGGTGCTGAGAATATTGTTATTAATGATGGAAAACCAGTTTCAGGTGATTTTTTATACATACGAAAACCAATATCTTGTGCTTCATGAGCACGTATTACTGAAAGTATCTGATTACGTACTAAAAACTCATTAATAGCAGCATAAGTATAAAAATAAGAACAACCACGTGCTGCATTAGGAAGGTATAATGATCCTGATGAAGTAGCTATTGCTGCTGATGATTGTGCTAGTGCACTCATACAAGGAGTTGTGACTAATGTTAATGATCCTTCTTCATTTCCATAATCTTCAGCTGGATCGGACCATAGTAGATCACACATTGCACCATGAGTTGGTGGTTCACGAAATCGATCCAACTAGACAAATAAAAAAACAAGATTGAATTTTTTACAATGAAGTAATCTCAATAGTGAGCAGGGTACAGCGACATTTGAATATACGCAGATGAGCGTCAGACAGTTGAGCTCCCAACATAGAGAATCCACCATATGTTCACAATCAACATGTTCGGCAATCCAGCTAACAATATCTCAGCCATAATCAAATTAGAATGTTGTTCTTTTTTAAGATCTTTGATAGATTTATACGAGTTGAGCTCTTAAAATTTGATTATGTATGAGAGACAGCTAGCTGAAATACCGAAAGACAAAAACGTGTTGCTAGTGAATATATGGATGAATAATTATAACACTTGATCGTTACTCTTAATTTAGAAGCATGAGAGAATTGCTTCAAAAGACTAGAAGCATTATTCAACTTTCAGTGTTAATAATCGTTCGTATAGTTAAACTGAACTTACATTACATTCTCTATGTTAGGCTCAAGTACCGAGAGGCTCAATTGTCATGTCATCATGAAAGTCTACATGTTTGGATGCTGTTTGATCTTAAGCCACCCTAAGTATTTACTGATTCTGTCAACCTGATTTATGAGATTTACATTTTACATCAATCGGATAATAATACTCATCATGCATTGTATTCGAATGTCGATACTATCTGTTTATAGGTGCTCTAATTTAGCCATATGATATTTTCCGGAGTTGTGTGGGAAGCTTAAGAAAACCACGTCAAATCAAGCTTCTACCCAGAGCGATATACGACTCTTAAAATTTACGGAAATATATAGACTGTATAGTAACCTTATTGACAGCAACTGTACTATGCTAGAATGTATCTATGGTCAATATATTTTACCTGTTTGATGTCATCTAAAGTATGAATTTCTGGTGAAAGGCCACCATGCACACATAAAAATTGATTATTCATAACAGCAGCTAATGGAAGACAATCAAACGCTTCCATACAAATATCATAAATTTTTTCTGTATATTTGACAAGACATTCCTGTTTGAAGCTAAATAAAAAAATAGAATCAAGATTTTCTTATAATTATCAAAGGAAAATCTTCTTACGTAAAATGATCCGTTAAATGTCGACATTCATGATTTCCTCTGAGTAAAAAGAATGTTTGAGGATAATGAATTTTCAGTGACCATAAGTAAAGTACGCTAAATAAAAAAAAAATCTTCAAATGAAATTAAAACAAATAATGATATGAAACCATTCTATTCCAAAATAGCCTCGATCAACATAATCACCAAGAAATAAATAACGGGTATGTGATGGAGAACCACCAACGTCAAATAATCTACCACGAGAAAAATAAGCATTCAATAATAGTCAAAAATAATATTCACTTACTTCACTAAATCATAAAATTGTCCATGAACATCACCACAGATAGTTAATGGTGCATCGATATTTAATAATGTTGGTTCTTTACGTAGAAGAGCAGTACCTAATTGATCAAATGAAATATTGAATATTAAACAAAAACTGACCTCATTAGGTCTTAATCTGCAAATTTTATGAAGCGTACATGAATCCGGATCTGACAATAACTATCTGACCGACCTCACATTATAAAATATTGCATTCGTTGGGCTGTAACTGATAGTTCTTTTTTAGAAAATCTTCGGATATAAATAATAAACGATTCGTCTTTTGAACTTATGTTTTAGAATTGAATCAGCATTTCGACGCATCACACAAACGGAAGCAGCGAGGCGTGAGAATTATAGGTGAACAAAGCCTAATCCTCTTAAACCGAAAGATTTCAGCTGACATTCGGTTATTCTTTCGTTTTTGGATTTTGAAGCATCAGCATCTGTAAGAGAGGTATCTGCGAGGGAAACCACTATCTGTAGGGGGAGAGCGTCTTTCTCGCTCTATACTTCAACATGCATTAACAATCGTGTTTATGATCTATTTTTGCTTTTATATATGAGATATATCCTTCATCTTTCACGTCTAGCATAAAAAAGATAGACAATCACGGCAAATAATGTCAATGATGTTGATATATTAAAAATAGTTGACTTCTTTATATACATGATGGATTAATAAATAATTCAGTTTAGTCGGTAAACATAACTGATACTAATTAAAAACTAACTTAGTAGGTTGCTTTCTTGAATATATGTATTTGCTCGAAGAAAATAAATCTTCTTACCGGTTTCGATAATTCGAAGTGCAGCTTGTTCAGTAAGACGGCCTTCGAGTAAAATATGTTGTTTAAGTACGTCTAAATTAGGTTTATCTTTTGAATCCGATGGATTAGAAAATATATCTCCAATATCAAGACGATGCGTGGGTGGTTCTGAAACCGTTTGACAAACTCTTTCTTTTATATTATATGTTGGTCTTGTTGCTGTTGATGAAGATGATGATGAGTCAGCGTCACGAGGTTTTTCTTTACTTGTCATTGAGAAAATTTTATTTTCATTATTCTATAATTAAAAAACAAAAAAAAAAGATTAAAATCTATATCATCATAATGTGATCATTCTTTATTTATTTTACTTTCCGAAATAATAATAATTCATACATATGGGATAATAGAAACGATTATATAGTATTAGGACAAATGTTATTGTAGTCTCTTACATATAAGAGTATAACTAACGGGTGAGGCAAAAGTTTTGCATTAATTTTGTTTTTCACTAGTGCTCCACAATGGGTCATTTTTTTACTTCATTTTTTAGTATTAGAAAGAGCAATATCTGAACTATTAAAAAAAACACATTTAATGGCAAGTTGACAAAAGCTCTTCGATGTCACCTTTGTCTAAGTTTCTCACGGACGTTCGATATCGTAACATTTCATTGAATTTTAATACAATTTTCTAAAGTATCTTCAATCATTTCTCGAATAACTTTCAATTGTTCAAAACTATCGAGCTCGGATTTTCACCATTCGAAAGCGTAATGACCGAACCGCCTATGTATATAATATTCTTCGACCATAGTGAATATTATACAGATAGACACTGCAGTGATCACTCTTTTCAATGTCGAAAATCCGAGCTAGATATCTCTGAACAACATAAAGTTATTCGAAAAATGGTGAAAGTGAAAACAAACTTAATGCAAAACTTTTGCCTCACCCATTACATATGCAGACTTCTTCATATGTTGTTCCCTATTATACAGTAAGCCTATATGTTTATACTCATCGGTGATGCGGAAAAGGGGAAAGAAGAGAATACACATTTCTTGTCGATATTGTCTACATCGTTATATGAGTTATATTGTTGAGAACCAAATGTATGGCATAACGTTTACTAGAGAAGGAAACAGAATACATCATTGCGCGTAGTTATATATTCATATATACTCGTTTTCTCATACAATCCATATTGTCTCTCTGAATGGTTTTACATAGTATGCACAGAAGGATATAATTATAAACAAAGATCTGATTCATTTCTTTTTATGCTTTGATGCAAAAAAAAATGATTAGTAAGCGAATACTAACCCATAGTTTTTTCTATTTCGGCTATTAAAATTGTTTCCTGAAAGAGAAGTATTGAGATATTTGATATTTTTCACTATTGGATTTATTTGATTCATTTGATCATGTTTATGATCGATTTGCCAAATAAATTCGATCAATTCCGTTATATTTGAATTTGAAAAATGTATCGGAGTCTCGATTTGAACAGTTCTGTATGAAAACACGAAAAAATCCACTGATCAAAGTACAAATTCATTCCATTTATTTATCTGATGCATATTTAACAAACATGACATATAAAAATAATGTGCAAAGTGATATCTCGTTGACTAAATTAGAACGTTTCACTATCCTAAGTTTACCTGATGCAATTTCAACTTCAACACGAACATCATTGATGAAAAGTTTAATACTTTCTTCTGCCAGCTTAGAACAAGCGTTGGACATCTTTGAATAGGCACCTAGATTAACAAATTTCACTTTAGGCTATGTTACATGGGACTCGGAAGAGATGATAATATCGAGTCATCCAACGAACTTGGAAATGTCTCTGACACGATTGAGGGTGTGGGTGTGGGTGCGAATGAACATGTGACCCACACTCATCTCACACACCCACACATCCACACCCTGGTGGCAATGGTAAAGGGGTCGAACTCAATCAACTCAATTTTCCAACTTATCTCTTTGTCGATCAACAACAGAATGTTTATATATCAGATAAGGAGAATCATCGTGTGATGAAATGGAATAAAGATGCAAAAAAATGGATTGTCGTCGCTGGATTTCAAGGCGAAGGCAATGGTCTGAGGCAATTGTCAAATCCTCGAGGACTATTTGTCGATGCCTTGGGTATTCTCTACGTGGCAGATTCGATGAACCATCGAGTGATGTGTTACCGTCAAGGAGCAAAAGAGGGCGTTGTTATTGTGGGTGGAAATGGTCGAGGAGCCGAAGCTAATCAGTTGAATGAACTCGGAGGTTTGTCTTTTGATTTTCATGGCAATCTCTATATTGTCGATCATTACAATAATCGTGTGCAAAAATTTTTTCTCGAATAAACTTGAACAGAAAAGTATGATTAATTTTGTAAGGAGTGTGGGTGTAGCCTACACCCCTACCCACACCTACATCTTTTAGATAAATATTCAATTGAATGAGAAATACAAAGTCAATCATTAAATGAAGAATTAGAAGAACAGTCGGTTCTTCTTCAGCTTATGCACCTTCTATATAGACATTGGCTGACACAGCGTTGCGTGATGATGAAAGGATGTGCCTATTCTGAAGAAGTACCGAACAAAACATAAACGATGAGAAAATTAAAGAAGTAACACAAAGAACTTGACGATTAAAACCACTATATATTCAATGTGAATTGAAAGAACAACAATCAAATAAAAAATTTTCATTTCATAATGAACAAGATATTGTATCTCTTAAACAACAAATTGAAAGGTTAAAACAATCATTAGAGTATAGTTTTATTGAAACATTTTTTAAAATAATCTATTATTTACTAGAGAATGAAATCAAAATTCAGATCGAACAAAAAAGAATTCAAACAAGAAATTAATTCAACAAAATCAAATAATTGACAATAAACGATTTGAAATTGAACAAATAAGAATACAATTGCAATATGATTTTATTTATTATACATCACCTTTTTTAATAGGTTGATTTTAAGATTTACAACAAAAAATTGAAGAAAAACAAAAACATATGTTAGATATTGAACAACGTTATTTAAATAATCTTGATCAATTAGAAAATAATAAAAAAAAACATTGGACAAACAAAGTAAAATCATCAAAAATGTTGAAATATATTTTTTGTGTAAAATATTTCTCTGTCTTTTATATTTAGGATTGTTCTAATAATGAAGATAAACTTTGTCGACAATCATCGAAAATGCAACTATTATTAAATGAATCTAATTAAAGATTTATGTAATTTTATTTCTATTTAGAAATGAAGAGAAAATTTGTTAATTGTGATGTTTGTGTTAAACAAATTGAATTAAAACTTATTGAAAGTCAACAAAAAATACAAACACTTGAACAAGTTGTCTAATTTTTTTCTTTTTTTATCAATTCATTTTATTTTATTTACATATCGAGTGTTTACGAATTCATCTGCTATAAAAATTATACAGCAGCCATGCTAAATAAAGAAAAACAATTAAATCAAAGATTGCAACTGTTATTAAATGGAAGGATAACATAATAATTGTTTTATATTTTCATAATGTATCTTGTCAATAGAATACTCATATTTAATAGAATTTAAAAATAGAAAGAAACATATAAAGACGTATTTGAATGAGGCTGGTCACGTCGTCAATAGATTTGGTATTTGTATGATTAGATAAACATATCGATAATTTACTGGGTGGAAATGAAAAATTAAAAGAAAAAGTTCGAAAAATTCTTTCACTAACTTGTCAATTTGAGAAACCAACAATATGCTTCGATTTTATTCGTGATTCCATCAAAGATACGCATATTTTATATATAAAAACAGATGTTTTTGCTGAAAAGTTTCTTCATCGAATAGCATCACTTTTAAATGTTATTTATTTATATATATACGATCAACGATATAAACAATATAATACAAATAATAATTTTTTCTTTTGGAAAAAATGGATTTAGCATGTGTTATTCATTTTGATGAATGTTTTTATGAAGAATTAATTAGTGATTTATTGCAAATTACATGAAAGTAAAGGTCAGTGATTTGAAAAGAATAAACAAGTCAAAGAAGCAAAACTATTATTTGAACATTATCTACAATTAATTGATTATATTGATGATAAAGATCAAGATTGACAACAAATTCAACAATTTGAATAAAGTTTTTTCTTTTAAATTATTTTATTTAATACTCGTACTAGCTCATATCCACACCAACATCCAAACAGAGACTTACACTAACCCATACCCTATTATTGTGTTTACAATCTCGTTTATTTAGCCAGAAAATTGTCTTAAAAATATGAATATTGAAATTATTCCATAGTGGACTAACTTAAGTCTAACCTAGGCAACGTGGCTATCGTTATTGCTGAAAGTGAATTCAAAGAAATCTTGCTAATGGAATTAAAACATAGAAAAGTTTGTACGACTTTCATCAACTTTGATGAAGTGAACACTAAAATTGATGTATATCACTTCCATTAATTAAAACAAATATTTTAACTAAAATCATGAATTTAATCTAAAAGTATACGTTTTAATCAATTTGAATGCATTTTCTTATTTCTAAAGTTCCTGCATGTCCTATTAAAACAAAAAATTAAATAATAATAATTTGACATATATATTTAAAAATAGTTCAGAAAACAACAAACAAATGACATTACTTTTATTTATACACTATGATTTATTTCGCTATAATGATATTTTAAGACTGTTGACGAGAACCAAATGAAATTTGCATTAGTCTGTAAATAGGTGATAAATGTATTAGATTTAGTATCTTTCAAAAAAAGAAAATATTAAAGTGCTTTCGCTTCATTTATTCCCTACGAAGGATGGTGAGTATGTTTTTAATTATGATATTCAATTTTTCTAATCAGCTAAAATCAAGAAATCACTGTAATATAGTCACATGCTTTGTGTGAAACTCATCTTTCATTTATATCTAGATGTCGCCTTAGTAAGCGTATCTGACGTTAATTCGAAAATGTACTTATAACTTATTTGAATTGCATTGATTGTTACGATCACTTTTTAAACATCGAATTAGAAGTAGCGCTACAACCAATGCTTCTTACAAAGCAAATGTTGTTCTTTATCGTTTAAGTGTTCTTCATAGATCTTTTATGCTGTATAATCGTTACAACTCGAGAAAAAAAATGTTCTGCCTGTTCTTGAGAAATCTCACTGTCAATCTTTTCTTCATCATGATGACAACGTAGGAAAAAAAAGGTGGCGTGTATAATAAATACAGGTAATATTATTTTCTATTCTCTTCTATCAAAACGAAAAAGAAAGAAATCAACCGTTAAAAATATATAGGTTATGACAAATCACTAATATCAGACTTTTTACTTTTTGAATATTTCTTATGTTATTTTAGAAGTATTATACTATTTCACAATCGAATGGCCAATCGTAAACTCACCCCAACAACAATAACATGTACGAATGATAAGGACAATAAAGTATCCGTATTAACAGATAAACAAATTCGTTATGAATTATGTGCAATTAATGATTTAAACAATGGACAAATGAAAGAATTCGAAATAAAAACATCACTTGTTAACACAACTATTTTACTTATTAGACAGGATAATAAATTTTATGCTTATTCAAGTAAATGTTGTCATTATAAATTACCATTAGTCAAAGGTTTGATTAAAACTCTTTTGTTATTCATATAAAACTTCTAATTAAAATTGATTAATTAGGTGTATTAATTAATAATCATCTTCGTTGTTTTGCACATGGTGCTTGTTTTCGTGTCGATACTGGCGATATTGAAGATCATCCAGGTCATGGCAATTTACTAAGTATGATTTGAGTTCGCTTTTATTTTTGTTCATTGTAAATTCATCTATTATTAGAATATGATGTGGAAATTGTTGATAATCAGGTTATTTTAGTTGCACAAATACAAGATCTGGAAAAACTAGAACGTACAAAAATACCTGATAATCTAGTCATTGAAGAAAAACCAGTAGTGGCTATTATTGGAGCTGGAGCAGGTAAACATTGTTATAATTAGAGCGATAGTATAAAAGAAAGATTTCCTGTTGCATGAAATAAAAACTTGCATTTTCTACTTACGTTAGCGAGCAGATCTACTATCCCTAATACTAAATAGGATACTCTCAGTCCGTGTTAGAAATGAAGAAAGAAGAATATCTTTGCCTTATGGTATCAGGTGCTGACTAGTGACAGATTCTGTAGTCCGATATCTTCCATACAACTAATACTAGTTGTATCTCTGGAGAGAGTTCTTGCACCCACATTCTACCATGACAAATATGTCTAATCGAAAAAATTCGAAGTTGATTTAGTAGATCCTCAATTCGAAAAATCTTTGGAACACTTCTATATTATTTCAGGTGGATTTACATGTGCTGATATGCTTCGTCAGAATGGCTTTCGTGGTCGTATTATTTTATTTACATGTGAAGGAACATTACCTTATGATCGTGTAAGTTTTTTTTTGCTTTTAAAAACTATTAAAAAGAAAACAAAACGTTAAATAATTTCTAAGGTTCAATTATCGAAACAACCATCTAAAAATCCTCAAGATTTACTTCTACGTGATCAAATTTATTTTAAAAATGCTCAAATTGATTTACTACTCCATACAGAAGTCACGAATATTAATTGGACTGCCAAAAACTTAACATATAAAACATTAAGTAATCAAATGAAATCTCTTGCATATGATTATTTAGTATTAGCAACTGGCTTACGACCAAGAAAATTACCTTCATCATTACCAGGATATAATCTTCGTAATATATTTTATTTAAGATCATTAGAAGATGCTAGTAATCTTGTTAGTAAGTTTTCATAAACCTTAAAAAAAAGTAAGAAAATCAACGTTCTTATGAAATAGATACAGCTAAATTATTGGATACAAAAAATATTGTTATTATTGGTGATTCATTTATTGCATTAGAATTATGTGGATGGTTAACAACTGGTTTAAATGACAAGAAAACTATTTCAGTGGTAATGCGTTCAAAAATTCCTATGAGACGTACGTAAGAAAAAAGAATGAGTTAATAAATATAAGTTATTCATTGATTTTGAAAGGTATTTTTGGTGAACGAATTGGTCGAGCTTTACAAAAAGTTCATGAAAAAAATGGTGCAATATTTTACTCACAAGCTGATGTGATCAAATTAACAGTTTGTTGCTTTTGTTGTTTTTTTTAGAGATTATTTTATTGAAAAAATGTATATTTCATGTTTAGGGTGAAAATAATCGTGTTAAATCTATTCAATTATCAACAGGTGATTTAATTCCATGTGATTTAGTTATTGTTGCAATAGGTAGTGAAATATGTACTGAATTATATAAAAATTCTCCTATTGAAATGACGAATGATGGATTTATTAAAGTGAATCAACGTCTTGAAACATCAGTTGAACATGTTTTAGCCATTGGTGATATAAGTAGATATCCATTAAAAATATTCAATTTAGATGATATTAACTGTCAACATTGGCAAATGGCTTGTTCAACAGGACATCAAGCTGGTAAGCATTATACATATTTAATTACAAAAAAAAAAAAAGAATTTTGCTATAAATTAGAATAAGAAAATAAATTTGCATTCGATGAAAACTACATGCTAATTTCCTGTTCTATTATTTTTTTTTTTTGGTAAAATAGATTCATTTACTTCTTTAACTCAAATTATTCGATAATTCGAAATAGGATTAACAAATGCATTAGTTATGATTGAAATATAAATTAAGAAATTATTGTTTTATTTTCTAAAATAATCCTTTCAATTGATGGTGTCGTCCGTTATATAGTTTTGACTAGTGACAGAATCAAGTCAAGATAACAATAAATTGATTTAGTGAGTATCAGTGGTGAAGAGAAATGTAATGAAAAGTGAACTATAACCATCTCAAGATGGGAGTTAGATCTCCTCGATACTACCCATGTAAAAAAAAAGTAGGCAAAAACCTACTATTAAGTACTTTCAAAAGTAGATTTTAAACAGGAAAAAGTACTTATAAGTGAACCTTTTTAAGTACTTTTCATACTTTTTGGCTAAAAAGTACTATTAATTACTATTGAAAGTGTGAAAAAATAATAAAACTCACTTAGAAAAGTGAAAAAAAGTAATAAAAGTTAATTTATTTTTCTGTGTTAATATTAAAAGTACTAAATAGTATGTTTTATTTAAGAAAATACTATTAGGTACTTTTAATATTAATACAGAAAAATAAATTAACTTTTATTACTTTTTTTCACTTTTCTAAGTGAGTTTTATTATTTTTTCACACTTTCAATAGTAATTAATAGTACTTTTTAGTCAAAAAGTATGAAAAGTACTTAAAAAGGTTCACTTATAAGTACTTTGTCCTGCTTAAAACCTACTATTGAAAGTACTTAATAGTCACTTTTTTGGGTAAAAATTTTTACATGGGTAGTTGAACTCTGCCCCATACCTATCCAATAGAAAGAGCGCGACGACAGGTTTTCCATTTGACGAGAATATTCTATAACATTTCACAGCATGTAGAATAAATATAAAATTTTATTTGGAAGGAGATCATTCTCCTATGTTTCCAGAATTATTTCATGCATAATCTAAGTGCTCTTGATGTCCCGAACATTTGAATTTGTTATAGATTCTGTGTACAATTTTTTGTAGTATGACAATATCTTTGAATCTTCCACATTGTGAAAGTTGATTTTGATTACATAAATAATCTTTATATGTATATTAAGTTACTCTAGATACTCTGGAAAAATCGACGCTAGTGACCTTGTTCAGAATATCGTAGAGTTTACTATCCTACGGCTATAGTAGTCAGTTGAAAGAGTCAACATTCTGGCATATATCTATACTAAAAAAGCTTACGTAGCAAAATAGTCCTTGTAAAGAATGACAGGTGTATATGTCCATTTTTACTTGCTATGACCGATATGCTAACATTAAGCAAATAAAATGAACTTAGTGTATTCTGAGAGCCAATTTGATCTCTATTGTCTAATTAACAAAATTACCGATGCTGTCTCAACATACACATAAAAGCTATGCTATTTCTATTGTATATTTCTTGCTTGTCAACACAAACTTCTTCTTGATATCTGTAATAAATATCAAAGATTAGTTTGTCCTCTATACATAATGGTTTTTCATATGTAATTGATGAAAATAATGATAAAAGATATTATCTGTTTAGGGCAAAGAGTTCGATTTTGTATATTCTTATGCATAAATATATACATTCTGTATTTTTCATTGCATCAGAAGAGTATTCCAGAGTTTTACAATGCCTATTCATAACATCGAATCATGTAAAATGATGACATTGCACTATTAACGATCATTTAGGATCGTATGTGTTTAACCTAAATACTCAACTTAGTTATATTCTTTGTCATACACAAGAAAAGAAATAACTTATATAGTTAATACCTTGTTTTCTTTGCAATCTAGCCGATACTATCTTACATTATTATGTTGGTCAAAAACAAGATAATTCTCGTTCATTAAAAACTGATTTTTATACAGTACCGATATTTTGGACAACACAAAATAATAAAACAACAATACGTTATGCTGGATATACACGTGATCCTGAAAATGTTATAATTCATGGTGATCTTGATGATGAATTTAAATTTGTTGCATATTATATTGTTGATGGTTATGTTCGAGCTGTTGCTCAATCAAAATATGAACCATTATCATCTGAAGTAGCCGAAGTGTTTTATCATAAACGAAATATTCGAATGAAAGATATTGAAAATGATATGTATGGTTATAGAAAATATCTTGATTTTAAAACAAAAAAACCTGAATAAATAATATTTAGTCTTGTAATATGACTTTATAATATTTTAGAATTGCTACTATTTATTAATATATTGTATTTCTTGTTTGTCTTAACTAAATAATAAATTGCTTTTCATTAAATCGATTGTAGTCTTTTTCTCACATTGAAAATATATATCAGATTTATTTATATCGTTAAGATATTGACTGCTTAAGAAATTTGATTTTCTGAAGTTTATTAAGCCAATTAAGAAACGATTTTTCATAGTATAATGATGAGGATTAGGAAACATATGAGATATGTCTGTTCATCGTCACGAAAAGTGATAATATGAAAATTAATCTTTTTAAGCTCTCTAACCCCTCATAGTGTGCATTTTTCAAATGACTGACGAGTATATGACTTTTTTGCTCAACAATGATTGGATATATGAGAAAAATTTGATCTTCAAAATCTTGAACAAGCATTGTTTTCATTGTTAGTTAACTGTAGAGCAGCTATGCTTAAGTTTTTATCCCTATATCATGATGTTTTTGGCCCGATATTCAACAAGCCAAAGTGAAAAATTAACTCATTTGGCAATGTAAGTTCTCTCTGTATCTTCATTCTATATACTTATTTTGTTCTTTTTTTTTATTGAAGGCAGAACTATATTTGCTTTTAAATGTTAATTTTTGAATCGGAGAAAAGTTCTAATTCTTGAAAAATGGTACTTTAATTATAAAAATGCTTTGTTATGTCAAAGTAACAAAATCTAAATCAAAAAAGAAGCTCTGTCATGCCTCACATCTTGACATGCTTTTTCAAGCAAAAAAAAACAATTAAATCTTTAGAATGAAGGCTCATTTAGAATTCTGATTTGTGTGATAAAAAAACGAAAATCATGTCCCAATTTTTTCTGAAAATAGTGTATTCTTAAAGCAGATAATGATAAAAATTATCAATATTTTGACAAAAGAATCATGTCATTTATTGACTTTTTTTGAAGATTGTATAAATCATGAAAATACATTGAAAGTTTCATGCCTTCGTAACCTACCTTTCAAGAGATTTTCAAAGATCAAGCTGCAAAGTTCACATTCCTTTCATTTGAACGACAATTTATTTATGCTTTCATTTTTAATTTTTTATACTGTTGCATTGTTTGGATTATAGCATACAGCTCTCTAGAATGAGCTAGATTAAGAAAAATGCAACAGAAGTGAAGCATGAATTTATTACATGTCAAGCGAAGTGCTTATCTATGTAAATTAGATTATCCTCATATGAATTACATATCGACCTAGCATTGCCCTTATATTTGTTATACCTTTCAACAATGTAATAAAGATAGAAGAATAACAGTATTCAAGTCATTATAGAGACTTGATTATCTCGGAAAAATATTTATTTAACATGTTCATATGTTTATCTTAAAAACCATTTTGTTTGACGATAATCAAATTTACTGAGAAGAGTTCCGTTAGGAGTTTGTGGCGAGCTTTGTCAATATCACTATTATTTACAAGATCATCTGACATCTGATAAAAGATGTAAACGATTTGATATAAGTAACTTAACAACAGTTGAGTCCTTCTTACAATACTTGTTGTATATTTATATTATACACATCGATTATATTTTCTGCTATTATAGTTTGCCTAAAAACAGATCCTTCTATATGTTATTCATGTTTTATGAAGTATGATAAGTCTTCATTTTGAGTTTAACATACAGAAAAAAAAAAAATGTTTGAGATGTAAGTATTTTCTGTCGAGAAAAATTCAAGAGAAAACAGAATGAAGATAACGTCCAAACAAAATACATTATCATCAATTTACAAATGCACAATGCAGCTGTCGTGGTATTCAGATTGTTGAATGACGTTTGATTTGAGGCATGTAGAACGCAAAAAAAAAAGCAAATGGGTTATATGCTCTTTTGAGTAACTTATCATAGGTGCAGTGCGAAATATATACTAGGTTATGGCGATAACAAAGTAAGGACATTTTTTCATATGACCAATTATTATTTTTTTTGACTATGTATTTGTACTTGCTTACTGAATTAAATTAATTTCTTTTTAAAGTCTAAACGATAAATTGTATTTTTACAACTATGAACTAATCATTTTTGAAATTAAAATCAAAGCATTAATGAATTAAATAATATTTTTTACTATGAATTAACGACATCTATTATTGAAAATTTAGAATTTGTCTAAAATATTCTATTTCTACTAATTTTCTCAAAACAGAAATCTTTTTCTATGATTTTTAATTGAAATATTTATAAATTTTATTTTTCGAAGGTTCGATATCAATATCATGGCAGTCTAGTACACAAAGAACGGAAAAAAAAAACACGTCCGTAATTGTTCGACTTATATGTTGATTGTTTACAAGTTTTTGGTCATTGTTTATTATACTGTATTCGTGTGTATTTTTTAAGAGGCAACTCGTCGCGCGTCGTCGTCGTCGCCCCGTTTTCTACTGTTCATAGTGTACATAGGCCTTGTCTATCTTTTCCCGTTTCCGTGTGTATTCTTCTTGGACATTACATACCTGTGTACCTATGTAAAAAAAAACAAGAATATTATCAAGCGTAATAAACCGGCTGATTTATTATTGTGTTTTTTTTTTCTGTTTAATTATTAGTGTTTGTTTATATTAATATAGTAAGTTATATTATAATTAAATCTAAAAAATATTACATATTTGTATTTATATAGTTAACATATGTGGCCATCACAGGGTGCCAATGATTATACAACAAATGGTAAAAAAAAAAGATATTAATTTTATTTAAAAAAAGATTTTTTGTTTTTTTTTCAAAATTTATTTAGAACGATCAGCACCGATTAATATGCCAAATCGGCAATCGGATATAACATCAGGCTATGCTGATACACATGGTGTAGTTTTTTCACCTAAATCAACCGATCCAGCTAATCTTGGAATTAATATGTGTATTAATATATTAGAAGGAGATAATTCACCACGTGTAAAAGACTTAGGTATTAAAGATGTTACTCAACACATGCAAAATATGAAGATTTATGTAAGTGAAAGAAATAGCTCGGAAATAGTTCAGTGGTTAAAAGTTCATAGTGTGTGGGTTCGATTCTACATTCTATCAATGGCAATCGTCAGGCGTTACCATTGTTTATATTTTCAATCAAAACAGTGGTGTTATCGATTAGCCTAGATAAACTTAAAATAGTTGATTATTTTCGATTAATATGATAATAAATATATTTATCTTTTCAACTATTCTAACACATATGTTTATATTTATATATTTATTTATTTTTTTCTTTATTTTTATTATTTAGACTGACAGTGATAATAATAAAAAAGCTGTTGATAATCCAATTGTTTATGATGCTACATCTGATGATAAAACAATTGAAACAGAATCAAATCGTAAACCAACACCACGTTCATCACCAGGTCATATTAATAATGATTTAACAAATAGTAGTGATAATGAAAATCTTTCATCTACAAATCCGATTGGTGTTGGTGATGATACAAATGATGGTTTAATAACACCATCACATTTAATAATGAATGGCGCACCTACAGCATCAGTGCCTATACCATTTCAACGTATGCAAACTAATAATCAACAACAACAACAACAACAACAAATGTTACTTTATCCGCAACAACAAGCGTAAGTTTAATAAAAAATGTCACTATCTATTACAAAACAAAAGTTAATATTCTTAGAAAAATAAAATTGATTTTGTTTTTCAAAACATATATGAGAGTTTTTTCTTCTTTATACTCATATTAGAAAAGAAATTGATAATCATATAAATATAGAAATCTATGTTTTTGTATTTAGTTATCCACCACAATATCATATTGTTTCTCAACAACAACAAGCACCTCATTATGATATGAATCCACCAACAACAAATTTTCAAACATTTGATTATACATTAATTCAACCTCAATCGTAAGTAATGTATTAATCTCTTCAGGGCAAGATTCTTGTTCTTTGATTAAACACGGAAGCTTGTGATTTTTCTGGCAGAGAAAATCTCAATGAAAAAATAATTCGAAATCTAAAAAACCGGTTTTCTAGAGATCCTGAAGAAAGAACTTCTTAATCGCTTTGCTAACACAAATTAAATCGAGATTTTGTTGTCTCAATCCGAAGTTTTGTTCAAAATACATATAAGAACTCACTTTAGAAAAATTCCGAGATACATTTTTTTTTGTTCAATTGCGATATCATATAGCAATCCAAATTGCATCTATGATAAACAGTACGCATCAATAGATCTGAAACTATTTCAGAACAAGAAATCTGTATATATAAATATATCTCTTATGAAATGTTGCAAGCTCTGTACATTTTCGGATACTATCGAATTCACAAGAATTCTTTAAAACATCTTGATCGTACTAAAAAAAATTATAATTTTTAATTTTTGAAAGATTTGAAAGTCAATCAATAATGACAGCATTCAATCCACAAACAAATGGAACAAATCAACAAGATCCTCAATTAGCAAATTTAGCTCAAACACCACTTATGTCATGGTTATCAAATACAATGGCTGCTCAACAACAAACAGCTAATCAACAACAACCATATGCATCATCAAATCAATATATTATAAATAATAATCAAGATAATTATTTACAACAATTACAAAATTATCATCAATCACCAGCAACACTTCCATCATTACTTGGTCAACCACAATATTGGTCAGCATTACCAACAGCTCTTCTTTTTCCAGCACCACCACAACCTATGTTAGCACAACAACAAACAACAACTAATGAACAACAATCACCACAATCGAAAACAAATAATAATAATAATCGTCCATTAACACCAACTAATTCAGCTGATATATTAAGTACATCACAATCTAATCAACAAGCACAACAATATATGAATATGACTCGTACAACACAAACACCAGGTAATAAAAAAAAATAAATATATCTTCAATTTTTTCTTTAATTCATTTCATTGAATTTTGTAGTTAATTTTCCATTTTTTGCTGCTGCTTCACCAACATTT